CGAGGATTGGCAAATCAAAGGCCACATTCCTACAATTGAAGAACATATGGGCCTCAAAACAACCTTGAACCAATATCAAAGTCACAATCCTCAATACGAATATCAAGGCAGTTCTACTCTACGGAGCTGAAACTTGGAGAACTACTACAACCACCATCAAGAAGATACAAGTATTTATAAATAGTTGCCTACGCAAGATACTCAACATCCATTGGCCGGATACCATCAGCAACAGCCTATTGTGGGAGAGAACGAACCAGCCTCCAGCTGAACAGGAAATTAGGAAATTACGATGGAAAAGGATGGGGCATACATTACGGAAATCACCGAACTGCTTCACGAGACAATCTCTAACTTGAAATCCTGAAGGGAAGCGTAAAAGAGGAAGGCCAAAGAACACATCACGTCGGGAAATAGAAGCAGATATGAAAAGGATAAATAACAACTGGAAACTTCTGGAAAGGATTGCCCAGGACAGGGTTAAATGGAGAATGCTAGTGAGCGGCTTATGCTCCTCCACAAGGAGTAACAGGTGTTTGAACTACGGTTAAATGATTAGCTTTCTCAGTAATTAATGAATACTTTTCGAAAAGTACTATTCACTACTGTCCAATTTCGTGTTTCTTCAGTAATATGGAAAAGCTTTGATTTATAATATGATTTCTGCTTTTTGGCAGTTAACGTTAGTGAGGTACTTATGTGCTTCATTTTAGAAGAAATTCTATGACGGTTTAAACTTCACTTGAGTACAAGTGCCTTGGTACAAAATATCTTTCAATATGTGATGAAAAATATTGAAAATTTGTTAAGTTTAATCTCGGCACAATATAATGTGTCTCCGATTTTCTTCGTGCTGCTGAGAGTTAGGATTGTCCACTGTCTCTGTCGTAACGTCATCATGCGACCTCACGTTTTAGACCTTCTCAGAGAAATCCTGCTCACAATCTTCATGTTCAGAGTATTTTTTTCAAAAATGGGAGGGCGAAAGGAAAAATATTGGTGTTCAAACAGGATTGACGGGTTCCAAATACCCAAGTGAGTTAGCCTGATAACCCTGACAACAAGGCATTTGTGTATATGGGAATCTAGAGTCCTGACAGAAAGAGTGGAGTCTGAACCTTCAGCGATTACTGGTTACTATGAAGTTGCATCTTTTGACGTTCCTGGAATTGCCCCACAAAGAAAAGTCCTTCTTTATGTTAGAGCGGTCAAACTGTATCTTAGCCAATAATAATAATGAAAAAAGTATTATGCTCCAACAGTTTAGCTACTCAATGAAATTATGTTCATATTGATTCTACTACAAATAAGTTTATTTTACAGTAATTATAATTCTTATTCTGTTTTTTACCCCCCCCCACACACACACATACACTTTTTTTCCAATCTTTAATTCTTCAAATAAATTAGCCCCTTGTCTCTGTTAATGTTCTGTCCTATCTAAACTACTTTAGTCACCTGAATAATAGATTGCTTGAATTTTGCTGTTAACATTTATGTTCGTTCAACTGGGAAGCGTTTAACAGTTGCTATAATATCTACCAAACCCTTCTCAGAGCAATCCTACTCACAATCTTTCCGCTTCAATTAAACTTCGGACAGTTCATATTCATTTGATAACATTCACTTTTATTTTTGTATTTTATACGCTACATCTCTTATCTACTCTCTTCTATCCTCGCTTTGTGTATCCTTATTTTTCAACTTATGCAGTAGCTCGCCCATGGTGGAAACTCTGTTCTATCTAAACGATCTCGAGTCATTGCCTGGTTGAAAGTTGAAAGTCAACACCAGGTACGAATACTGAAACCACGCGCACCATTAAAACTGGCTGCCTTCAATGTTCGCACACTAATGCAGATCGGACAACAGATAGGATTGGCTATGTCTTTAGAAAGTCTTAATATCGACGTCTGTTGTCTATCCGAAACCCGTATTCAAGACTCTAGTGAAGTACCCCAAATTCGCTCTCCATCTGTCGCTTCGAAAAGCTTGTTTCACGTGCGTTTGTCCGGGGACCCTGCGGCATCTTGGCCTGGTTTTTCTGATGTTGGTGTCACACTAGACGCTAGAATTGATACAGCAGTGATTGATTGGATCCCCAATAACAGTCGGTTATGTGCTGTTAGATTAGAAAGTTCCAGCAAACTAAGAAGAAATTGATTTGAGAAACGATGTCTTTTCGTCATCTCCGCCTACGCTACGACAGATTGCAGCCCGGATGCAATCAAGGATGAATTCTACCACCAGTTAACTGTTCTTCTCCAGAAAGTGCGTTCGACAGATATTGTAGTACTAGCCGGAGACATGAATAATCTGGTTAAGTGTCTAGGCACAGAAGGTAGTCGTTTAGATGATCAATGAGGACTTGTTTTTCGCACGTCAGATAACGGTGGCCGCCTACTGAAACTGTGCGTAGACCACAACCTGTTTCTGGCTAGCACTAACTACCGGCACAGTCATTGCTGATAAGCCACCTGGCATCTTCCCTCTGAATCCCATGCATGGACTCAGACTGATCACATCGCGATCAGCTACCACTGGCGTGGTTGTGTACAAGACTGCCGCCTCTTTTGGAGTACCTATCTGGACTCTGATCACTCTCTTGTTTGCGCTAATCTTACCTTACTTTTCAGTGGCCAACAAATTCATCGTCCTAAACGGATCGATGTCAGTAAATTGGTTACAGCTTCTGTAGCAACTAAATATCAAACCGAGCTAGGTTCAAAGCTAGTTATCATCCCACCGAAAAGGATATTGAGCTGTTTCCTGATCTAAAATTGTGATCCTGATATTTTCCTAACATCATTCCCTGTATAATATGTGTTGGTGTTGTACAAATCCACTTTGTTTCAGTTGGTGGTTTTTGAAATTAATGTAATTTAATCAATTTATTTCAGTGTACATAATATGAATACTGTAGTGGTAAGTAAACGATACTGTCCTCAATAGTTTTCCTGGACACACCCTGACTAAAGGCGCTCGGTCACTCATCCGCACCAGATCACCATTGCGTATACCGTGCCATGCATCCCTATCAATAACTAGTCAGCTTTGATCATATACTCCTCGACACATCGACTTTCTTGTAAATATATCTTCGAACTCCCCCATCCCTGAATTCTGGTTAGACTAGCTTGGGGATGCTCGATTATAAAAGTGTTGCGAAAAACAACGTTTTCAAACCCTTAATATTTGCAACATCTTTACTACTGTTCAAAATTTTAGTGAATTCCAACGTGTGAGCGTAACTATACCCTTACAGTGTTCAATGAAATTACAAAACCAAGTATTTATGAGCACTTCTCGTTCATTTATTGAGTAATTCTCAAATATATAAGAACACGAATTTCACTGGTAATTGGGTTTCAATCATCCGAGGCTATCTACGCATGTCTTCTATAAATACGTCACTGTGGCTTGTCTCAGACTTCCGAATGAAGATAGTTGATGAAGTGAAAATTAGAGCTTAAAATGAATTTCATAGTAAAAATTATTCTCTCACAAGCAGTACTCACTAAATAAATGAACGGGAAATTTCCCGAAAATACCTGATACTACACACTTATTGAACGGGTTGGTAGACAGATCCACTACAAATTCACATACACGAATCCCATTCAACTCCTACACATCACAGACTATCATTACTGCATGATCTGTTAACCAGTAGCCTTACTCAGACAAAACATGTTGTTTAGACAAGTGTAAAACACATTATTCGTCTACTTTTGTAAATCTACGATCCCGCTATTTGGCATACCTTCATGTATAATCACCACTGAATTGCAGTCAACAACATCATTCAACTATACGGTTTGCTCACATGTCTGTTCAGGTGATAAGCCAAATTCAACCTAAAGAGTTGACTGAGAATTTCAAATATTCATCACTTTACCAGTTATTTTGAATATTCTAAATCAATTTCTTATTTGACTGAATAAACCAAAAGATATTGTAGTTGAGATATTGACATGATTTAGTTCTACAGTTCATTGTTCATTATTTGTGACGAGACATCTCAATTTCTCATGGTTATTCCTCATCAGTTCGATAGTACTCATCGACAACGAGGATGTGAAACTTTGGAATGATTTCGGCGTGACTATAATTTATGGACAAACCAATCAGATTTGCGACAACAGGTCTTTGACTTCGGCGTTAAATCAGTTCATTCATTTGTCTAAATAGAGTTTTGGCAATATAGTTGATGTCAGTTCGCGATGAAAACCCTATATCTAATTCCTAATCCTAACTCTGAACTTTAAATATTAATCCCAATTCCTCACACTGGCTTACAACCCTCGTATGGCCGTAGAATGTAGGTGGACATTCTCAAGGTCATTTTTGCGTAGCTCAAACGTCGTCCATAAATTATAGTCTCACGGTGATTTCTAGTGAGATTCGCTGTTAATGCTGAATATTGTCCACGTTTCATAAAATAGATATTCGCATAAATATGAACACATTGTATGGTTACTAACTGAGTGTTACATTGTTAAATTGACTCGAAACCATCTAATTGATATCGGTTTTGTACCCATTTGTAAAACCTACATATTAGTGTAGGGTCCTGATGAAGAACGAATTGAGACGAAATATTTCTTCGCAAAACTTGTATATTCAATGTCTCAGTGGGAATATTTATTGAGCATTGTAAGATGTTTTATTTGTATGATTACGTTCAGTATGAACTGTTTTGCAAATATTTAACTAAACGGGCACTTGAAAGCAAAGTGGAAACTAGTAGGCTTCTCAATCACACTAGTCTTTTGTAAATCACACATACCAAACCAATTAGGAAATAAATGTAAAAGTCAGAAGTATATATGTCAAAACAAATATTTTTTGCAAAAATAGTACAAAACAAATTCTCTTCTGTATAGAATATACATTTTCTTTAATGTATACGTGGTGACATTTATAGATGGAACGTTCGACGACACAAATCTGATTATTTACTCGGTTAATACACGGTGAAACGAAGCTCGAGAGAGATGTTAACCTTTGCCAAGAAATTCGCGTTTACCTTCATCGTTCACTGCACAGACATGCTTGAGAGGAGAGGAAATAATCAAATGAGAAAAAGTGAACAATATTGATATCATTTCTAGACAGTGTGAAAGCAAATCTGACTCATCTCATTCATTCAAGTGATACATGTTCCATTTGTTGGCTAACGTAATTACTCGCTCACATTCATACCTAATCATCACTCTCCAACACGTGTTATTCCACACATTCAACACGATCATTCCACGTATAATAACAAACACAAACGGGATAACAACAAATTATCCATTCGTCCAATTCACTTACTGGCAATTCACGGAAGCGATCGTTGTAGTCGATACCATAACCAACTATGAATACGTTCGGCACTTCGAAGCCAACATCTACAAAATGCCATTTGATACGGATGAGTTTGATGGAGTAAGTTAAAATGATGAGTATTGATGAGCATCTGGTCAGAAGCAGAGTGCATTCGTGTTACACAGTTTTACTTTGCGCGTTGTTACAATTGATCTCTGAATGAACCATTTAATGTGGTATTGAGTGACTCAAATATACACTTGGTTTAATTTTGACCGAGATCAAGATAACTTGTGAGGAAAGAATTGACTGTTGAATTCTCTTACACGGTTGCTATATTTCTGTTTGGATGTGTTGTCAGTGATTAGGAACACTGTGAATAGATTATCTTTAGAAATGGAACTCGAACATGGTTAATTGATATAATTACATAACGGCCAAAAACACAGTAGTTCTTCGTTATTCAGTGTCGTTCGCGTTCCATCTATCAATAAATCAGTGAGTGATATCTCACTCTTACTCTATGAATATCTGTTCAACGAATTAGTTTACAAATTCAATCCTCAACAGATTCTGTCGTACTATTGAAATGATTGTGACAAGATCAGATCTTCATTCGAAGACTCACATCTTCGAACCTAGAATGATTCATTTAATATACACTTGAACACGAATCTAGTCAGCTATAATACGCATAAGTAGAGATACAAACAAATTAACATTTACACAAATACAGTGATAGTTCTGTTACGAACAATCTCAGTATTGAAGACTTACAGGTTGGGTAATATCCAGGAAATTCGGCTATTCTTTTGACTAGTAAACTGTGATTCAATTGAAAAATGACATCAACACATGTTATTACACAACTATTATTGGTAAAGTAGTTAGTTTAGTGATTGTCAATGTGGAAATGCATGCAAATCAGGTCAAGCTGTTGAGTGTAAACAGTTGATTGTTCCAGTACTCAAAGCATTCTAATGACTGTTTATACGATTCGGTGTCCAATCATAACACGTTGCAATCAATGTGAAATACGACGACATTTATCTCTCTTTACACTGTGTCTCAATGATACCGTGTATTTCAACGACTTTCGTGTACGGGACAAATATTATCGATTATTTACTAACTGCACACAAATCAACTCACAAATCTATCAGACCACATCAGTAGTACTTACTATCAAAATAAACAATTGATTTCTACACATTCAATGTCTTATGATCAAAGTGTATAAAACATCTACTAGACAATGAATCCACTTGTTCAACTTATTAACATCCAACTCAACATATACATAACATTCGATTCGAATGTATTCGGTGATAATACAGAAGACAGATTAACATCAACACAACATACCATGCTGAACGAACAGACTTCGGTTCGTATTTCTTCACAAATCTCTCCAGTTCGTTTAAACTTGTGCCCGTGTCAACCATATCTTCCACAATGAGTACATCCTATGTAGAAGAACCAAATGATCATTAAAAATTCTCTCCATTTCACCTCAACCTACCTTATCTCTGAACTTCTCCATATTTGTACACGGAGTGATTTTGGTATCATGACCTACTGAATCATCCTGAATAAATTGATAGAAATTAATTCACAAAATGTCACTACTACTTACAACGTATGTACTTGCAGCGACGAAGTCGATGCTAACTTTTATGTAATTTCGACGTGTAAATGAGAACTCTTGTAATGCCTTGAATAAGTCCGAAGCAAATTTGAAACCTCCTTTCAATATACAAATCACGTAGACAGATTGTACACCAGATTTCTCATAATCACTCAATATATCAATAGACATTCTTTCCAAACGATTCTCAATCATTCCACTTGGAACCAAAATGGTTGAAATATGTTTTTCATATATTTCTGGTAGAGTGAAATTCTTCGCTGAATATCCTTCATAACTATCATCAAACTAATTGAAAAACAGGTAAACATATTGTGAAGACAATTTGAAGACTTACGATTATGCAGTCACTTTTGTAATCACGTGTAGTCATTTCAACGCTGTCAATTAATTTATTCACAGTGAAGAAGAATCTACTGAGATTATATAGAGTGAAACACAGTTGATCAACCAACCAGATGTCTCGTCACAATGACCAATCAACTATCGACTTTATAGAAAGTTGAATTATGACGATAATTCTATGGGAGGAAATCGAGAGTGAGATTGCTTTAAGAATCGGTTGAATTCACTGCATTTTATGGTTACATACAAGCCACTATGTTTAGTCAGTTCGAAATAATAAGGAACTTGTTAGTGAGCATGATGAGATGAATAGTTGATCACAGAGTAGTGAATTGTGTGAAAGGCTACATTGTGATGAAATTGATATGAGGACGCTGACAGAATATGTTTTAGTAAAGAGGATGATATCTCTGGAATATTGTATTGGAGTTGACTGATTTGTGTGATCTGACATAGATTAATTCATCATTAATTAAGATTGTTGAGAAAAAGAAGAGACGAAATTCAACTCACTCCATTGTAATTATAATCCGAAGAATGAAAACAAATTGAACCTATTCCCGAATTCATCAATCACCAGTGGTAAATATAATCGTAATCAAACTGAAGACTCCAACTGTTTGATTGTTTACTTGGTTATTCGATTTGCTATTTTGATATATGTAGACGACTTCATTGTCATCACTATCGAAACAAGTTTGGCTGATCACATTTCTCCACATTATCAAGCAATAGATAAGTTCTCTTTCCACAACCACATTCGCCACTTCGACACTCTGTGAAGAGTGTTATTGCAATGATGTCATCTGGTAGTGGCAGCAGCTACTGAACACAAATAAAGTGAGGAATTCGCTCCAGCTCGTGATCATTCACGAGTAAGTGAGGTGGCTCTTGTACATTCTACCATGTCAAGGAATATTATATCGATGTGATGGTTGGTGGAAATAACACATGATTTGAAATGATTACTATTCTACTCATTGGAACATAAAGTGTATACCATATTGCCGATTGATTTTCATACTGGATATGAGCAAATCTTAACTGAACGAGACTTCTCCATGTCTGTTGCGATTTCTGATTAACTTGACAGAATGAGTGAACGAACGAATGAATGAATGGAGTATTGATCAGTGGACCGTATGACATCCACTATTGACAATAGCTGTCCAATCATTCACATGTAGTTTTGAGCACTGCGTTAAAACATTCAACCAGATATTTCAGAGAAGAAGTCGTTTCTCTTACTTTCATCAATCGAATAAGTCTAGTTTGATAGAATTCTGAATGGATAAATGATTGAAACGGAAATCAGGTTCCGCCGCAATTGGATTGACCTGTTCGAGGAAACTGGGTTTGGTCGAGTGAATTTTGAATACAATTCTATTTGTAGAAGTCAACCACTAAGACTCACCAAAATGTGTGAGCTATCACACCATCTGAGATTGTGTGGTAAAAGAAGTTGGAATTACTGTGGTTCAGTATTGAAGTCGATTTCATTCGTTCTTCATATTGACGGTTTCGACTTGTAATGTCTGCTACCATGTCAAGCACACATGGGTTATTCTAGATGCTGAACAGACCAATTTATTCACCCTTCTCAAACAACATACTCACCTTGTCAATTATTCGCCTATTATACTGGACAGTTCTTATGTGATCGTATATGTGTCTATTGCTTACCCTATTCATCACGTATTTATCTGTAACTTATTCTAGTCTGAATAGAAATATTGAGTCACGCTCTATCAAAACGAGTCGGCTCACTCACCTTCTCCTCTACACGTCACTTCGTTTCGTTTCGTTTCGTCTTGTTCGCTACGCTCTCTTCACTCAGTTTTTCTGATTGTCTGTCTGGATCAATGAGTGTTCGAAATATATCAATTCAAAACACATTCTCGTATATGGCTTGTTTTATTCCGTTATTGTCTAACGTGAATTGAGTCGATAGTTATATACGAGGATTGACAACATGCATGATTTCTACAACAATCAGCATACGTTCTAATTGGAGTCAGATCACAGCACCAATAAACGCTTCCTATTCACTACTTGTATTCTCACTCAAGTAGCAAGTTTGTCTGGCATATATGAAGCGTGTTTCAAGATAGATAGACCGATCACTCAGCATGACACTTACCAAGAATCACTAAACAATCTGACAATTGCTTTTATGAAATTACTAACTTAACTGAGAAGAAATCAATTCAGAGGAAGTGACCAGTGTATGTATGAAATCAACACTGATCAACGTTAGAAAGTCATATAAAGAGAATTAAGATGAATATTTCTGTAGAAAATGATCTTAATAATAATAATAAACCACCAAATATGACTATGTTACGTGGGCGAATAGCACAATAGATTAACCTTTGGAACTTGATATATGAGAATACTGTCTCATTATGACAAAACAAACAAACAAACAACAACAAACAAACAAACAAAAATGAAACTATCTATTGTTTCTCATAGAATACCTTCCTTGTGACAGCGGCACGTACTTAAAGTAGATTTGTTCTTTTTTCTGTTTTCTTTTCATATTTCTATTAGGTTAAATTAGGAATTCCAGTAATTCACTTAGTCAATTAGAGTTTAGACATTTAATGAAGAAAAACAAATTGGAATAGATTAGAATAAACTAGAATGGACTAACGATAATGAATTTTATTGTAAATTGTCATTTTATATCGGTTTATATACTATTATGATGTATTTTGCATTTTAGGTAATTTCTTCCATTCTGTGAAGTGCGTGATGGGATTTTGTGGTTAATATTATTGTGATTGGTCATTCTGTCAATTGACAATTGAATTGACGAGTCAATGTAAGGTAGACTACGATTGAAAAGGTGGAGGTATTGGACTGTCCATTTCGTCCTAGTATGGGATTCCTCAGTAGTGTGTATCCACGATTCCACTGTTTTGACTCGAACCTGGGATGTTCGGTTTCGCTTTCGAGCACTTAACCTCTATACCACTGATTTGGTCGGCATTCAACCATGTGAATATCTGCCTTCAAACAATCACTTCAATTCCAATTATTTTGATCGCACCTTTTAACTAGGCTGTCTGCTCTCCCCATTCGTCTTTCTTCTGGTGAATGAGTGGATTATGAACACCTCGACATCTGTGGGAAAACGCGGAATACAATGGACAGCTTAGAACCAATCAGACGATTCGGAATTCGCAGATGACCTAGCCCTCCTATCCCATACACACGAACAAATGCAGATAAACACATCTAGTTTAGGAGCAGCCTCTTCATCAGTAGACCTCAACATACACAAAGAAAAAAGCAAGATTCTCAGATACAACAAAGAGAACACCAACCCAATCACACTTGATGGCGAAACTTCTGAAGATGTAGAATCCTTCAGATACCTGGGAAGCATCATCGATGAACAAGGAGGATCAGATGCAGACGTAAAGGCGAGGATTGGCAAATCAAAGGCCACATTCCTACAATTGAAGAACATATGGGCCTCAAAACAACCTTGAACCAATATCAAAGTCACAATCCTCAATACGAATATCAAGGCAGTTCTACTCTACGGAGCTGAAACTTGGAGAACTACTACAACCACCATCAAGAAGATACAAGTATTTATAAATAGTTGCCTACGCAAGATACTCAACATCCATTGGCCGGATACCATCAGCAACAGCCTATTGTGGGAGAGAACGAACCAGCCTCCAGCTGAACAGGAAATTAGGAAATTACGATGGAAAAGGATGGGGCATACATTACGGAAATCACCGAACTGCTTCACGAGACAATCTCTAACTTGAAATCCTGAAGGGAAGCGTAAAAGAGGAAGGCCAAAGAACACATCACGTCGGGAAATAGAAGCAGATATGAAAAGGATAAATAACAACTGGAAACTTCTGGAAAGGATTGCCCAGGACAGGGTTAAATGGAGAATGCTAGTGAGCGGCTTATGCTCCTCCACAAGGAGTAACAGGTGTTTGAACTACGGTTAAATGATTAGCTTTCTCAGTAATTAATGAATACTTTTCGAAAAGTACTATTCACTACTGTCCAATTTCGTGTTTCTTCAGTAATATGGAAAAGCTTTGATTTATAATATGATTTCTGCTTTTTGGCAGTTAACGTTAGTGAGGTACTTATGTGCTTCATTTTAGAAGAAATTCTATGACGGTTTAAACTTCACTTGAGTACAAGTGCCTTGGTACAAAATATCTTTCAATATGTGATGAAAAATATTGAAAATTTGTTAAGTTTAATCTCGGCACAATATAATGTGTCTCCGATTTTCTTCGTGCTGCTGAGAGTTAGGATTGTCCACTGTCTCTGTCGTAACGTCATCATGCGACCTCACGTTTTAGACCTTCTCAGAGAAATCCTGCTCACAATCTTCATGTTCAGAGTATTTTTTTCAAAAATGGGAGGGCGAAAGGAAAAATATTGGTGTTCAAACAGGATTGACGGGTTCCAAATACCCAAGTGAGTTAGCCTGATAACCCTGACAACAAGGCATTTGTGTATATGGGAATCTAGAGTCCTGACAGAAAGAGTGGAGTCTGAACCTTCAGCGATTACTGGTTACTATGAAGTTGCATCTTTTGACGTTCCTGGAATTGCCCCACAAAGAAAAGTCCTTCTTTATGTTAGAGCGGTCAAACTGTATCTTAGCCAATAATAATAATGAAAAAAGTATTATGCTCCAACAGTTTAGCTACTCAATGAAATTATGTTCATATTGATTCTACTACAAATAAGTTTATTTTACAGTAATTATAATTCTTATTCTGTTTTTTACCCCCCCCACACACACACACACATACACTTTTTTTCCAATCTTTAATTCTTCAAATAAATTAGCCCCTTGTCTCTGTTAATGTTCTGTCCTATCTAAACTACTTTAGTCACCTGAATAATAGATTGCTTGAATTTTGCTGTTAACATTTATGTTCGTTCAACTGGGAAGCGTTTAACAGTTGCTATGAGACAAAAAATTATTATTATTCGTTTGACTTCACTAATTTATACTCTTCCCATTATATA